AATAACGTTCCCCTCCGATGATTCTAAATTATGACTATAACACATCTGGAATTCTCCTTCGATGAAGACCTTACCTCAAATTTCTTTGTGTTGTGGCCAAATGCCTCGTTGCTATGGGCTTCTAGGGACAAGGGACAGTCATGTTTGCTCTTTTTCCATCTCGCATGAATTGGGAGACAAGACGTATCCAATAAAAACAGTTCCATTTCTCTAAATTAAACATTCATTTCAAGGAAGGTAAATGCGTTTCCTGATTGCTATGTTGAATCCTATTATACCTTTATATATTTGAAAAATGTATCATGATTTATGAAGAGTCATAAAGTTAAATTCTAGTTTTATTGTAAAGCTCTTTCCTCATACTAGTTATTTTTAATGACAATGCCAAGAAGAATTGGAAATAGAGATATTTGAAAAACCTATAGGAAAAAACATGTCAAGGTGCATTTTAGTGGATTAGGGAAAATCACTTTTGTAATAAATAAAAGTATCGGAAAGCTATTTATAAAGCATAGTTTTTCCATATAAAGAAATTATTTTACCTATTCAGGTCTGTGACCATAGAAACGTGATCAAACGATTCTTCTTTCACGGTACACAGTATCATATGAGACCAGCCTTTGTGGCTCAAACGGCCTATAATCACGCAGGCGAGATCTCAATTTGGTACTCTCGTGTTGCATCTCGTATTAGTACGTGTACATACTCTAGTACGCATTCTCTGGAAGTTTGCTATAACTCGCATATCTCCTTTTGCCGGCCTAGAATGGGTTAAAGAATCGGCAAAATTCATGTTTTTTATTTATAGTAATTTTTTTGGTCATAGCTTTAAAATTTTTGTACGAGCTTTCACGTACATGAAAAATAAATTTTATGTGAGGATTAAATTTAAATACGAAGTATAAAGGTTTCATGTCAAAATCAGAAGTTTTGAAAATATTATGCTAATGTCCGATCTAAAATCCAAAAAATGTAAGTTTTTTTTCGGGAGGGGGGGATAGATGCTATTTTTTCTATAGTACCAACTTAAATGTGATACATTTCGCTACATAATGATTATAAATTTATATATGCAGCTGCTGTTTTACATCTTTAATTAATAACTATAATTTTTTTTAACCACTTGAGTCATTCCACTCCAAATAAGGCAGTATTCCGCCCCGCATCATTGTTAATTTTAAATCATTTCATTTAGTACACAGCTCTGCCACAAAATTTGCACATTAGAATCAACAAGCTACAATTATATGAGAATAAACTTAAACAATTTATTCTTCATGTTTTGCTTCGACACAACTCTTTATACTGTGCTACTTAATTATGCTTTTTTTAAGTTTTTTCATCTGAAATTTAGTAAAAGTAAAATTTGTTTAATGAATTTAGCTAAAATTAAAATTTGAATATAAACTCAAGTTGAGGAGTCAGTAGTTGAAATATTCATTTCCGACTCCGGACTTTCCTGAGAAACTTTCTCCGATTCCAACTCCAACTTATTTTTTTAAAATAAATTTTCCATCTAATTTTAAAAAAGTGTTAACCTTACTAAATAAATTTTAAGTTTAAATTATATATTTCTACTTTTTATGTATTTTAAATATAATATACTTTTTATTTATAATATACTTTATTTAATACATAAATTTTAAAAAATACTATTGTACAAAATATTGAAGTTTTGCAAAACTATTATAGAAAATTGGCTAGATATCAATATCTCACTACTCTTTCTTGCTCACATATAAACGCCTTAAGACAAAAATTATATAGTATCGTGAATGAAGAAACTATTACAAATGATTCATCAAATTCATTTGTATAGTCTTATTAATTAACTTATTGGTTTAGGACTATTATAATTAATTAAACTATAATTTAATAATAATTCATTATTTAATATCGATTTTTCACCCGTTTAAATGATTTCCTGAATTCTTTTTCAATAGTTCAGTTTCATAGGCTCAAAAACGTTCAAGCGTGATAAATTTAAATTTACAATAAGTCATAATTTAAATAATTGTCATAGTATTAATTCAAATGATATTTCTATTAGAATAATTATAAATATTTGTCTAAATAATTTTCATAATATCGAAACATCTAACCCCGCAGCCTTGATCTAAACATGGTGAACTTGACATAAAATGACCCATTTTTAGAACCATAATTCAAATTATGTCTTAATTTGCAAACGCGCGTTAGAGACAGATATAAAATGTTTAGCTATTTTGCCTCAAAGCATGATATTTAACAAGGTTACTAACTGTTTATTAGTGATTCATAACAACCTAAGACTAAAACTGTTTGCTTGACTGAAATCTCTTAGAACAGGCCAATTCCAGACAAATATCTGTCGAAATTCACGATGACTTAATAACTTTCTCTAAGAATAAAAAATCATTTTCTTATCACTTAAAAGAATTGCTGATATGGTGCTGGAAATAGTCTAACAACTCATCAGTTAGAAATAGATGTAACAATAAGGGGAGGAAAAGGGCTATAAAAACTGGAGAACATAGCAGTTCCTCCCTCATCAGTAACTGCTCTGAATTAGTAACAGTCATACTTAGTAGGGAAAAAAAGCAATTTCAGTGATACAAAAACTTTTTGCGCTGAAGAATGAGCCAATAAAAACATTCTTCTTCCTTACATTCCAAATTGTAACATGTACCAAACAAAGAATTTTTCCTTCATGCAGTTTAATAAATGAATGTGTTGCTGTAATTTGGAATTCGTCGAAAGGAAAAAAGCAAAAGAAAAATCACTATAATCGCTTATCATACCTTATCATTAAAAAAATCAGTTTATCATTGAAATAAATTAAGCTCATAGTCGATTTATTTGAAAACATTTCATTAACTTTTAATATTTGAAACGAGTGAATTTTTTTTAACAATCACAAATGGTATAAAATGTGTCACTAACAGATTTTTCAAAACGAAGTCCAAAGTTAAAGGAAATAGATACGTAAATGTACAGTACGTAAAATATTACCCATGCAATGAGTAAGAATGAACACCTAATGAACTTTTCATGTAATAATCGGATTGTCACATACTAAGACTCAATTTCCATACGTAGACCAGGAAATATTTTAAGATACGAAATCCGACACAAAAACGTATTTCCTCTAATAAACATATCTTTTTTTTAAAAAATAAAAAATGGATTTTGGATTCTTCATTTTCAATGTATGGAGTGCAGCCGCAATCTTGAAAATATGATCCCAAACATTTAGGCTATTTTTAGAGCTATTTAAGCAAGTCAAAAAAAATTTGCACGCAATTATGAAAATCATTTATACAAAGATAATGCGAAAATTAATGTTCAACTCCAAAAGCCTCCCACGGTTAAACCGAAGTTTATTGATGAATCGAACAGGAATATTTCATTTTAGAACCGTAATCAGTGGTTATGAAAGAACACATCATAGTCAAAATTTCAAAATATTTCGTTGGTTTTGAAAGTAAGCGCAATACCCTCCGAATTTATGCTGGCTGACCCAGCTCTCCTTAAGTGACCAGCGCGTTACCCGATTAATAATGTAGGTTGGTAAAAATGATGTGGTAGCTACTAGACTACACAAATTAAATACGTATCGAAAAGAATATTAAATAAACATCCATGTGCTTAATTCAGTATTAATTTCCTTCGGAATGTTGAAATTTTTTTATAAAACTTAACTGTATATTGTAGTTAAGAAATAAATTCAAACAGACTCAATCAATTTACGCGAAATCGATTACGCGTAAATTCAGCGAGCATTAATAAACAAATATGAAATTGTATAAAAATGTATTATACATAGTTCTCTTTTAAAAATAAGCTTCTTTAAAAATATTTTTATGAAAAAAATAGAGTTTTTGACGTAAAACATGAATGAAATATTTTTGAAAATTGATAATGAAATATTCTAAAAATCGAAAATACTTCCTACTGTATAAATATTTGAAATTTAGTTATTTTTCTTATTGAGTAATCGGTGTTATTCTTGAATTTCTGCATATAATATGGCATATTATGACGAACTAAACAAATTTTAATATCAAGTTTATGCCCTCTCATTCCCAAAAGTCTTTTTTTACTTCGTTTTATTAGGTAACTATCTTTGTCCAAAATGCATTATTTACTTTTTTATGTCGGTATTAAACTTGCTTATGTCAAGATTCGTGTTATATTTTCTGTCTACGAAAAGTCTCCTTTGTTTTTACATGACATATTGATGCACTGTGAAAAAAATATAGTCTAAACTACCACAATATGGATAGCATTTATCATATTTCTGACTCTATGAGAACTCCAAAAAGCTTGTTTATTTTAACCTGAGTGCTTTTGCAATGATTTCAACAAAATATGGTTTTAAAATATGTGATAAAGTTTGGTAAATTGGGTAAACTGTGATAGTTCTGAGAGAGTTTCCATTCGTTCTTCACAAACTTCTTGCAATAAATTTTTTTTTTAAATAAAATATGAATATTTATCCATTTCTGTTTAATTTCGTATCCAAAAATTCAATTAGTGTAGTTCTTAAACTAAATTTTCAACAAAAATATAATTTTAAAACATACACACGTTATAATGTAACAAATTTACCAAAATAAGACAAAAAACAAAGATAAAACACAACATTATTTTAACACACAAAAATATTTACAAATTGCAACGAATTTTTAAAACTTTTGTTATTCCTAATTGATATTATAAGCTAATTGTATTCACAAAGGAAAATACATTTTTCAATCAATAAATCAGTGAATCTAGAATGATCGTTCAGTTATTTCTTGATCAATCAATGAGATTTATAAATCGATATCTTTAGCTACCATTGAGCAATAACTCTACTTTCTCTAAAATAAACAATAAATGAAATGTTAAACAATTATTTATCATGAAATTTCAGAATAATTTCGAAGAACGAATTTCAAACAAGTCTTATAGTAAAAGAATAAATAGAAAGTCATCAATCAAATACTAAACACAACAAAAACGTTTCTTGAACTTACCGTAATAATAAATTATTCTACCTCAGTGTTACAATAAAGAGAACGCAAATTGAAGTAAAAGCAGAATTCTATTTTCAGAATAATGTTCTAAAGCTAACAGCTGATGGTCGAAATAAGTACTATTTAGAATATTAGTGTTGTGGAAGAGAAAGGTTTCCTCTCTTCTGCCTCTAACATCCTTTGATGACGTCACAAAGATGCGTCACCTGAGCTGCGCAATGACTTGCTTGCTTGTTTCTATGCTGGGTGTTGCCAATAGAAAAAAATTATCACTTATTTTGGTGAATAATTATTTAAAAAAACAATACCTTTGAAATAATGATGCATGAATTCTAATTTCTTTTAAAACTAAAGGAGAAATGTTTATTTTAAAAAAAACATTCTTATTGATTTAAAAAAATTCTATCAACTAGTTTTATATTATTTTTGAAAAATTTAAATTTTTAACTATAATTTTATCGTTTTAAAACTTACAGTTTCTCAGAACATTTTATGTTTTATTTTATTTTTTGTTATTTATGAAGTCCATTTAAGCGATATTCTAATAAATAACCGTAATCACCGAATAATTAAATTTAACGAAAATGAGATCTATCTATCATAGTTCTTTAAATTAATGCTTAGTAATTAAAAAAGAAATCGTTTTCTAGTTTTCAAGATTAACTTTTACTGTTGAATAGAATATGTCACATCAAGATGCTTTCTGAACATCAGTATTTTATAAATTGTGAGAAATTTAGAGGTAATTTTATACATATTTCTGAACAAGTATTAAAGTAGAGTTATCAATACTTTTATATTTAATTAAAATAATTTTTAGCGAATATTAAACAGTGTTGTTTGTTTACTTCATCATTGAAATGAAGAATGAAAGTATGTTCATTAAAAATACTAATATTCCTTTAAAATTAAAATATGCGCTAATTCTTCGAACAATTTTTAAATTTTTTTTTTAATCCGAACAATGTTTTATTTGTCACGTATCAAGTTACTTAGTTCCTAGAATGGCCTTACAACTACTTCTGACAGAGATTAAAATTATTATGTTATGATGCGATTATAAATCTAGCATGTAAACTTAATATTTTCCAAATCTGATCAAAGTAAAAAAATTTTCAAACAAAAGTCTGTAATTAATTTTGTTATTACTTTGACCATGATTTCAAATGAAATCAACTCGATGAAAAATAATTTCTAGCAAAAGTAAATTATATCTATGAATTTATATTTGCCTTAACACTCGAAATGTTAGTTTCAGCTTTTAGTGATGGCGCTCCTGAATCAAAAAAAAAAAAAAAAAAAAAAAAACAGTTCATCTCGTATGTTACGCATGTTATTCAATGAGAAAAAAGTGCGCTGTAGAGAAATGTTCGTACAATTCTGCCAGTCAACGAACAAACTTTTTTTTTCAAAAAATCCATTATAATTGGTAGAAACATTATTAAACTGAAGCTCATGTCTCTTGCATTACAAGAATTTTTGCATGAATGAATCACTAGTTTAAAAGTTTTTGATAAATTTGTAAGTCATTTCTTAAAAATCTTAAAATGTATTAAGTATTTATTTGAAATATATTTTTGTGAGAATTGCTTTAAATAAACTAAAATGAAACTATAAGAGCTACGTAATTAGTCTTTTAGTGAGTTAATTTCTTCTCATCTGAAAAAAATGTGGAGCAAAAAAAAAATCGAATTTTAAAACTATTACTTATATTATTATTTAAGCTTATCTTGTTTACAGCTTTAGCTTAAACTTAGTTTATATATCTCTTAGAATAATTACAAAATATTTTTGAAACTTTAAAAATTGTTTAAACGAGGTTTTCCTTAAGCACAATAGAATTAAAAAAATTATTTTCTTAATCTTTGTAATGCTAATCTACTTACCTATAAATGACTGAAAGAACATTATTAAATTTTATATAACTAAAATAAATTAATTAAATCTGTTAAAATATACATAGAACAAATTATTTAAATTGTGGTTAATTTATTTATTGTTGCTATAATCTCAACTGGTTCAAGTGAAAACAAGACTAACCCGTAGCATATGTAGAAAAATTCATATCTGCAATTAAAACCTTTAGAATTTCTTTTACGTCCACATTATAGGAAAATACTGCTNCAATTTTTAAATCTTTTTTTTTTAATCCGAGCAATGTTTTATTTGTCAAGTATCAAGTTATTTGGTTTTTAGAATGACCTTACAACTACTGCTAACAGAGATTAAACTTATTATGTTATGATGCGATTTAAAATCTAGCATGTAAACTTAATATTTCCCAAAGTAAAATTTTTTTCTAACAAAAGTCTCTGATTAATTTTATTATTGCGCTGACCATGATTTCAAATCAAATCAACTCGATGAAAAATAATTTCTAGAAAAATAAATTATATCTATGAATTTATATTTGCCTTAATACTCGGAATGTTAGTTTCAGCTTTTAGTGATGGCTTTTTTGAATAAAAAAAAACTGTTTGTGTCGTATGTCATGCTATTCAATGAGAAAAAAAAAGCGTAGTAGAGAAATTTTCGTACAATTCTGCTCCGTCAAAGAATAAACTTTTTTTAAAACAAATCCATTCTAATTGGTAGAAACATTATTAAATTGAAGCTCATGTCCCTAACTTTACAAGAATTTTTGCATGAATGAATCACTAGTTTAAAAGTTTTAGATAAATTTGTAAGTCCTTTCTTTAAAATCTTAAAGTGTATTAAGCATTTATTTGAAATATATATTTTTGAGAATTGCTTTAAATGAACTAAAATGAAACTATAAAAGCTACGTAATTAGTCTTTGAGTGACTTAATTTCTTCTCATCTGAAAAAATGTGGAGACAAAAAATCGAATTTTAAAACTGTTACTTATATTATTATTTAAGCTTATCTTGTTTACAGCTTTAGCTTAAACTTAGTTTATATTCCTCTTAGAATAATTACAAAATATTTTTGAAACTTTAAAAATAGTTGAAACGGGGTTTTCTTTAAACACAATAGACTGAAAAAAATTCATTTCTTAAACTTTGTAATTCTAATCTCCTTACCTTTCAATGACTGAAAGAACACCATTATAAAATTTAATATAACTAATATAAATTAATGAAATCTATTAAAATATACTTAAAGTAAAATATTTAAATTGTGTTTAATTTATTTAACATTGCTGTAATCTTAACTGCTTTAAGTGAAAACAAGACTAACTAAACTCGTTGCATATGTAGAAAATTTCATATCTGCAATTAAAACCTTTAGAATTTATTTTTTGTCCATATTTTGGAAAAATACTGCTAAAAGTTAGAAATGTGACACTGTATAGAAATGTGCCCAATGAAAATAGTTTTTTTACTGATTATCAGAACTTCTAAAAATGAGCGTTTTCTAAAACCAAAAGGAATCTCAGAAAATAATTGACTATTTAAGCTAATTTATCATCAATCTTAAACTGTCAATTTTGACAAATTAAGTGATAGGAAAAATTGTAGACTATCAAATAATGCCCAGTATAACTCCCTGAATTAGTATAATTCACTGAATTAATGTAATTCACTGAATTAATGTAACTCACTGAATTTGCATAATTCACTGAATTAATGTAGCTCACTGAATTAGTATAACTCACTTTAAGCAATTTATGAATTGTGATTTCAATACAATAGTGATTTCAGTACTATTGCATTCCTATGTAGGATGCTTATACAGGAAATAAAAATTTAAAAATTGCGTTTGAAACAACTGTTTACGAATTAATTGTACCCCTACACTCTATAAAAATAATATAGCGGAGCCATGTGATCCAAATCAATATATTTTGATACGTAATTTTTATTAATTTAAAACTTTAAATATTTTAATAAATATTTTAATTAAATATTTTAATGCGTAAAATTCAAAGCACTAATTTATCTTTTAATTCGTAACGAATAAAAAACCTAGAGCATTTGAATCCATTATTGCACAAATCCTTGTAATAAATTATAATTGTTCAAAATTTAAGAGACTGCGCAAATATAATTTTAACGATTTTATCAAACAATCAATAGGAAAAGATATAATTATTAAAATGAATTGTTTAGAAAAGAGGGACTAATGTTATAAACTTAAGTCCAATGTAATAAGCTATTGCTTGCACAAAGCTTAAAAGACTTAGAAACACTAATTCCATATTTATATAAATTTATAGTTATATGAGAAATATATACATGGTTTATACAAAGTTTAAATGATTTCGAAACACTAATTTCATATTTATATAAATTTATAGCTATATGAGAACTACACATTAAAATTACAATTATTTAAATGACTAAAAATTAAATCTACTTTTTAGACTTTATATGAATAAAATTTTCATGCAAAAAAAGATATGTGAATATTTTCTTTTTCAAGTTCGTTTTTAAAACTGAGAGAACTATCTATATAGTTGAATATTTGTAGTTAATAAATTTCTAAACTTGGCAGCATCAATATAATAGTGTTATCACGTATAAATGCACCCATTCTTTCCTTCACAATAGCAACTCTTATGCTAATAGGTGAAATCAATTCTATCCAAGAGTCCCTAAAGGAAAATCTGGCGGCTTTTGGCGAAAGGTTAATCTTCCATTAAACAAAGGCTTGGCGTCGTACTGAGCCGTTCACCTTGCTTGCTCAATAATTTTCGGGAAAAGGGTTTAATAGAGTATTTGCGTGATGTCCAAATATTTATTTAGCTTTAATGCAATGATTCTGAAGACCGGAGAATGATTAATTGTTCCGAAACTCTTGAATGCATTTATTTAAGGTCATTCTAAATACCTTTATTATAAGAAGCCTATCGCCTATTATGTTGTGTAAAATGTAATAATTATAGATACGCATCTGAATAATGATTTTGCATTATATTTTACATTAATTATTTCTATCATATGTTAATAGAAACCTAACATTTGTCCTAACAGTTGTGTCTTAAACATTTTGTTGATGCAGAATTTCTATTTTTTTTATCACTTTAATGTATGGAAATTTAATTAAACAAAGGGAATATATCTAGAAGCATGAATGCGTAATAAGAAAAAAAAAGTTTTATTTTAGGTCTCATATTTATTTTATTAGGTCTCTTACCCATTTATTTAAGTCTTGTATATACATGAAAACTGGTTGAAGCTGTTGCGCGAATGCTTAGCTTCATAGTTTATATAAGCATATAGCA